TACATTGTTTGAGGATCATTATTTACAATCATTTAGGATTAAAATTTGTTGTAATGAATTACCAACTTGTGCTAATTTAAAAAAGCGTAAGCCAGATCTATATGATGAAGATTGGAAATGTAATTTTTGTAAAATAAAAGAAGAAACCTTTAATCATTTTTGGAAATGTAGTAAGATTCAAAATGTAGTGCAAGATATACTCATGCGATTAAAAATTTTTTTAGTTAAAATTATTCAAAAGATGATATAAATACGCAAGAATTATTAAATGGTAAAATTAATGAGCTTGGTATGTAGGATATTGGATGTTTATATGATTTTACATTTTTAATGAAGAATCAAGTCAGTTGTCAATTAATAGAATTATTAAGGTGCTATAAAATAATTGAAGAAAAATTGTTGTATAAGGTACTGAAACAAATAACTGGAAGAGTTTTATTAGAATTCAAAGTGCTTATTTGGAAATCAAGGAACGAGTTACAAATAAAGGAAGAAAAGCGGTGCAGTATTAGCGGTAAAGATAAAAAAGCTAAGTCACATAGTAATCGCACTGAAGTGGGTGTTAAAAATGTTAGCTGTAAGATGTTAGAAAGTAATTGGAATAAATGAAATGATTTGGCATTCCATCGAGGTGGTCATTGGGCAAATTTTTAGGTAGATCATGACAGTCACCTTTGAATTTGAGGTCACATCATAGTTTTTAACAATGATGTGATCGTTTAGGTGACAGGTCGACTTGTTCTTTTTGAAAAGTAGTCTTGTTTCATAATGCTTAATTTTTATATGTATTTGTTTATTTTATATTTTGTAAGTTTATATATGTAAGTAAGCGTGATTATAATAGGATATGATCGCATCTATAATAAAGTTTTTTTAAAAAAAAAAAAAAAATTAATACTACTAGTCTAAAATATTTTATATGGTTAATATATTATGATAGTTAATTAAATTTTATATAAGAATTTTAATAAGAATTTTATTTGACATTATGGATCCCTTCAACTGATTTTGGTTTCTTTCTTGAATGGTGTCCAATATCATCATCATCATCATTTTCTCTATATTTCTTTAACTCCCC